CCTGTATATGTATATATGTTTATGTGTATGCATATATATTAGATATATATGTATGTATATATACTTTATATAGAGATATACTTTATATTATATATATATGTATTCACTTATGTATCTCCAAATCAGTAAATGCCAGATTACAGTCTTCCCATTTTTGCACCCTGATATAACTTGAACCCAACTGCATTCTCTTGAAAGAAATAAGCACTAAAAATGAATTATTCAAGAATAGTGATTGCTTACTTTAAAATTTTCATTCTAACCCTCCCTAGAGCTGACTTGTCTCAAAGTTTATAAAACCCAAGGTCTGGCAGAACCCCAGAGGCAATTTACCTGGATTTTTTTTTTTTTTTTGTCTTTTTTGTTTTTTTTCTTCTCATCTTCTGGTTGATCTCATCTGAGGGCCAGGCTGAGACGGTGGGAGTAAGGGGGTATGTCACATTACACACTTCAAGAGTCCATCACCTTCAACATTAACAAGTCCACTGCCTTCAACATTCTGAAGCCTCTGTGCTCAAGACCAAGAGATTTCTCTTCTTTCTGGTGTGAAATAAGTTTCTATATTTTTCCCTGAGGTAGTAAATGCAGTTATGGATCTCAACCTTCTGAGAAAAACTGGCTCCCTATACACAGAGTCTTTATCTTCATAGCCCCGCAACAATCACATTATTGTAATCAGAAAGACATTGGGTCACAAGATTTTCTTGAGCACAACTCACAATGGAACTGATTAGGAAATAACTAAATGACCTATGGACCAAAACAGATAAGTTAATATAAGATCCATTTGACTAGAAGCTAGAAAGTATTCTTGAAAAAGTCTGGAAACCCACTTTTTTAAATGCTTACGAATCTTTGGCCAGTTCTCCAAGCTTCAGCTCTGCCTTATTTGTGAATATTGTCTTGCCTCTCGAGGACACAGCTTCAAGTCTCTCTCAGATGTCCTGCTGACCTAAGAAGTGGATTCAGGATAACCTCGATCTTCCCAGGATTCTCTGTTTGGTCACTCATGATCAGACCACATTTCTCTCCTCGGTTTTTTTTCCTTGCAGGATAATCACCCTTGACGAAACTCCCCATTTTCATACTGGAGTAGGCAAAATTAGATGCTATTTTGCTATAACAATATATCACTGACAGGTCATTTAAAATGTAAAGGAATTTTTGAAGGAGGGAATTGTAGAAATGCCAATTATAGCCACAGTCACAGAGCTCTTAATAAGAAAAAAGTCTGATTAAATATAGTCACAGTTTGGAATCACAAAAGGCACGTCCAGAGCCTAATAAATCTGACAATTTTTGAAGACAGAGCATAAAAAATCAGCAGGAGAAATCTGAGGACTAATCTGCCTTTGGATTGAGAACACTTTGAACATGATACAGCACACAAAAGCCTAATTCACAGGGTCACGAAGTGTACATCATAGAATGAGCACTGAAAACAATCTAGGAAAAGTTGAGATGGTAAAAGGCTTTAGGCAGAAAATATGCTTTAAAATCGATAGCATCTGAAAGAAAGGTTACTCAGATAGTGATCTAAATTTAGACAATTTAATTGTTAATGACTGAGGACAAGGAATATGACACGAGATAACAAAATATGCAATTAATAGGAAATTCAGGCTACTGGTAAGTCCATAAAAAAGTAAAAATAGAATATACTGAATTATTTGACAAGACTAAAACATTAGGAGAAAGCTTAGTTATAATTATTTTAAATAATTAACACAAAAAAATTGTCAGGTAATATAATAAGAACAAGGATAAGCAAAGAAATAAAGAAAAATATTGCTTATATATTCAGGCAATGATGTTTGTAGAGATTTGAAAAGTTATTGGGATTTAGGATGTTAAGACCTTGTTTATAATAACTGATAATAAAATGAAATAAAATATAAAAATGTGAATACTAACCAAAATAATGCCAAGTGACACAGACAAAATTTTGAGCAAGAACGCTGTTGCCTATTATTCAAAACTGATGCTATATTATTTTGGACCTATAATTTATGTATTGTTAAAACATTTATTATTTCTTTACTTTTTATTCTCAGCCTGAGCCAAGTCTGATGTTCAACATACACGACTTCTCTGCTTCCACCTCTCACCTCTCCCCAACACATACTTAAATATGCCCTAGAATATCTGAATCCAATTATAGGTAAGTTAGCATAGTCAATCTACAGTGTTGTACTCTGCAAAAGTTATATGACATATCGTCATTATTCTCTCCTGAATTTGTATGTTGTAAGTCATTGATGATCCTCATTGCAAAGGAGCCCTTTACTAAGGTCTTGCTTTACATGTGAAACGTGTTGTTAAAGTTTTGTACATAACTATATTTCTCACTAGCTGTGCCATAGGAACAAGTGAACGAATTTAAGAGTGTGAATAGCCTATAATGGCTTAGTAGGAGATTTCATCAGAACATTTGTATAGCATTATATTGCAGATTCCTGTAGCTAAGATTGCTGCTATTTTTGTGTGTCTGTGATGTACAGAGGCACTCTTCTGATGCTTTACACAAATTATCAAATTTAATGCTCACACGAGAAGCTATTAGATAGAAATTATTTTTCCTATTTTATAGTTACACATTTGAAGGACAGAGAAGTAGCTTCCACAAATACAATATTCAATAACTTATTTTTGTCATAGTCAGGATTTTAGCCTTATTTTATTTTCTTTAAAATGTACACTTGGAACCACTTTGATACCTGTGCACAGAAAAATAGGACAGCAGCAAAGTAAATGGCTCACAACACAATTTTACCTAAGGTCATTTCCTACTAGAATGTTAGCTGAAGCCAAGATATAGATCATTACTGACTGAAAAAGAACTGTAAAATGTTCTAATCTTGATAGGCTTCAGAAATAAAAGGGATTGTAGGATGTTTGGTAAGAGAGGCAGCTGTCACTTGCCAGTAAAATGTAATTCTTTCAGAACAATGTCAGAACTTCCTCAACAGAACTGGGTTCATTTACATCAAATGAGGGTTTAAGATAGGTTATTATAAGATATTAATAATATTTAATCCACAGTACATAGCACTACTTGAAGAAACATGCAAATTTTGACCGTTGAAAAGGCCACTGAAAATAACATTCCCTATTTTATATTAATTTTTTTTGCAAATTTAAGACAGATTAAGAAAAAGTAGGCCAAGCGCGGTGGCTCACGCCTGCAAATCCAACACTTTGGAAGGCTGAGGCGGGCAGATCACTTGAGGTCAGGAGTTTGAAACCAGCCTGGCCAACATGGTGAAACCCCGCCTCTACTAAAAATACAAAAGTTAGCTGGATGTGGTGGCGCGTGCCTGTAATCCCAGCTACTAGGAAGGCTGAGGCAGGAGAACTGCTTGAACCTGGGAGGTGGAGGGTGCAGTGAGCTGAGATCGTGCCACTGCACTCCAGCCTGGCAGCCTGGGCGACAGAGCAAACTCCGTCTCAAAAAAAAAAAAAAAAAAAAAAAAAGAAAAGGTATGTTATTACTCCATTGTGATATATAATAACAATCCAATATATGAATACATTCTGTACTTGTTGCATTGCACAATAAAAGTAAATAGTGGCTGATTAAATAAAAGAGACAAAGTGATGTCAAAGATAAATACTAACAGAGAAAAATTAAGAATAAAACAATGAAGAAGAATATATCAATTACAAATAAAACTACAAATACCAAAAAAGAAATAAACATAACCATTCTCTGAAGGGGAACATCAGGATATATTAAATGCTAGAAAGGAGTTCATAATCATTGTCTTAATTAATAATTTAAACTACTTTAGATAGAACAAAATGAATCACTGGTCTGTATACATTTGATTAAAGAATGTCCCATTGTTCATTGGAAAGAAATTCAGTTCAGGACAGCAATAATTTTCCAGATGATGTCACTCAGAACTAATTAAAATGAAACACAATTTTAAAAATTTTTAAAAGAAATTTTAGAATAGCTTTAGATTTACAGAAAAGTAAAAATTTTAGCATTCTAACAGAACCCAATCCCAGTTTCTTCTATTATTAAAATTTTATGTTAGTATGATACATTTCTCATAATAAACCAATATTAATACTGTTGCTAAATTAAGTTTATATTGTCTCCAGATTTCCTTAGTTGTTATCTAATGTTCTTTTCTTTTGAGGATCGTATCCAGATAGTAACATTACAGTTAGTGGTCATGTCTCCTTAGTCTTCTCTTGGCCATGACAATTTATCAGACTTTCCTTGTTTTGAATGATCTTAACAGTTTTGAGGCATACTAGTCAGGTGTTTTGTAGAATGTGCCTCAATTTTGATTTGTTTGACAATTTTCTTAGACTAGGGTAAAGGGTTTTGGGGAAGAACACCACAGCAGTAAAGTGTCATTCTGACACATCACATCTTATTAAGAAAACATACCATAATGTTACTTATTACTATTAAAGTTAATCTCAATCATCTAGCTCAGGTAGTGTTTATCAAATTTCTCCACTTTAAAATTACTGCTGTTTATTTTTTTCTTGAATTCCATATAGTACTCTTTTTTTTATAAGTGTGATAAGAAATTAATTTCCAGAATACATGAAAAACTACAAGTCAACAACAGCAAACATCCAAAAACCCAATTAAAAAATGAACAAAGGATTAAAATAGGGTTTTCTCCAAGGAAGATATGCAAATATCCAATAAGCCCATGCAGAGTTCCTCAGCGTTATGAATACGTAGAGATATGCAAATCAAAACCACAATGTGACACCACCTCACACACCTTTGATAAACAACAATGACAGCAACACAAAACAAGTGTTTTCAAATAGATGGAAAAAATGGAGCTCTAGTGCATTACTGATGGGAATGGGAAATGTTATAGCCACTATAAAAAGTGGTGTGGCTGTTTCTCAAAAAATTAAACAATAAATTACCATTCGATCCAGCAATTCCACTTCTGGACATACTGCCTATAGAATGGAAGGAAATTTGAACAAATATTTGCACATTGATGTTCAGAGAAGCATTACTCACAATAGCCAAAAAATGGAAACAACGAAAAAGTCCACTGAAAGATAAGTGGGTAGGCAAATGAGGTATATCTCTTCATCGAAATGTTATTCAACCTTAACAAGGAATAAAATTCCAACATATCGTGCAAAGTGGATGAACCTTGAAGACATTATGCTAACTGAAATAAGCTTGACATTGAAGAATAATTATTCTATAATTCCATTTATAAAAGATAGACTAGCCAGTTACATAGAGACAAAAATTAGAATGGTATGTGCTGAGGGATACGGGGAGAAGACGTGAGAGTTACTGTTTATAGGATACAGAGGTTTAATATGGTAAAACGAAAAAGTTCTGGAAATGGATAGTGTGATGGTTACACAACACTAAATTGCACACATAGAAACAGTTAACGATAAATCTTATATTAGATATATATAAAGTGTCCTGGTAGTCTTACACTCTACAAATACACACGTTTTCCATTGCCCCTTTCCTGCCATGCAGAGCCCCAGAGGTGAATCTCCCTATTTATTCAAGTGTGCATCACTCACTGTCCTCTGTGCTGTGTCCCACATGCAGTGCCCACAGCCTCATACAGCCGGTGACTTCAGAGACAGGACACAGCTCAAGAGTCTGCCCCAAAGCTCCCTCTCTTCTTATTTCCCTGCAGCCTAGGCTTCACTTCAACTGGCAGCTCGATTTAGCCAAATTCAGGACAGGTCAGCAGGGCTCTTTCTCCACACATGCTGGTCCCACCCCAGGTGGAGTCAGGCAGGGCCAGTCACCAGAGAAGCCCGGAGCAGAGTAAGGAGCAGTCTGAGCTGCTCCTCCCTCATCCAAGGGGCTTCCTCCTCTCATTTGGGGGAAAAATGTGAGCTTGTTTCAAAGCCTCAGATGTTCCTTGTAGCTCATGGAGTAGGTAAAAGAAAACAAAGATGTAGTGGAAAAGGATGTGTTGGTGACAGCAAGAAGCAACTTGATCTTGAGGACTCTCCTTCTTGTCCCTCTGTGAAGCCTCTTCCACCACATAGGGCTCAGGGCTGACAAAGCCCCCTCCCTACCTTTCTCAGGCTGGACACAAGGTCAACCATGAGAAAACAGAAAAACTAGGAGAAGAGAGTCTGTAGAGACAAATTGGGAGGGTTCAGGAGGAGAATTTAGGATTTGCTTCTGCCCATGTGACACAGGCTGGGAATAAAAATGTTTTCCTGACTCTTCTCTGAAAGCCAGATAGACTCCACCTAAAACCCTGTTGACAATGATGCAGGGATCCACTTACGAAAGACTTTGATCCTCTTGAATGTGGAACGTTCCCTGCCAGTGGCTGAGTTACGAGCAGAGCAACCATAGAGCCCGCTATGCTCTGTAGTAATTTGGGGGATAGAGAGCTTTTGTCCTGATTGCAGAAACTTCCCATCAATCGTCCAAGAATACTCTGCCGGTGGGTTAGAGTCAGCGAAGCAGGACAACTGGAGGGTTTTTCCTGAACGGTAATAGGTCAATGGAGAGAAAATCCTGGGGACTTGTGGACCATCTAGAGTAAAGAGAATATAGCCACAGGTGATGTCATCCGAGGGAAGGGGATGCTCCTGGTCTCTTAAAGGGACACAGTGTCCTCTGAGTCAAGACACACCCTCAAGACCCAGCCAAACCCCTTCTGTGTTCACTGAGACAAGGCCTGAGGTATTCACCTGTTCCTCCCATCACAGGATGTAGACCCCAAGTCTCCCATGACAAGAACAGCCCCTCCCCTTATAATCTTGGTTAAGGCTGTGCCTACCCAGGTTTCCCCAGGGCAGGGAGTCATGGCCAGCTCGGGTGTCCAGACATAAAAGTGTCTGTACTTGGGCCTCAGAGAGACTGAGATGCCTGGCCTCTGGTCGTTTGAATTTTAGCTGATGGCCTGGCCCACAGAGGAACCAAAGATACAAAGGACATTCAGGGTGACTGGGTGACTGCAGATGCTACCAACTCGGTCCCATATTTCACATTCATAGGGTCCTGTGTCATTTATTGTGACATTGGATAGAATGAGGATCCTGGTTTTACCGGGTTGCTTTAGCCTGGGACTGACCGGGAGGCTCTGACCATTTACCCTCCACAAGTAGGTGTAGCCCTGAGTCTTAGGTTCACAAGTTGAGGCTATAACATTCTTTTTTTTTTTTAATTATTATTATTGTACTTTAAGTTCTAGGGTACATGTGCATAACGTGCAGGTTTGTTACATATGTATACTTGTGCCATGTTGCTGTGCTGCACCCATCAACTCGTCAGCACCCATCAACTCGTAATTTACATCAGGTATAACTCCCAATGCAATCCCTCTGCCCTCCCTCCTCCCCATGATAGGCCCCGGTGTGTGATGTTCCCCTTCCCGAGTCCAAGTGATCTCATTGTTCAGTTCCCACCTATGAGTGAGAACATGCAGTGTTTGCTTTTGTGTTCTTGTGATAGTTTGCTAAGAATGATGGTTTCCAGCTGCATCTATGTCCCTACAAAGGACACAAACTCATCCTTTTTTATGGCTGCATAGTATTCCATGGTGTATATGTGCCACATTTTCTTAATCCAGTCTGTCACTGATGGACATTTGGGTTGATTCCAAGTCTTTGCTATTGTGAATAGTGCTGCAGTAAACATACGTGTGCATGTCTTTATAGCAGCATGATTTATAATCCTTTGGGTATATACCCAGTAATGGGATGGCTGGGTCATATGGTACATCTAGTTCTAGATCCTTGAGGAATCGCCATACTGTTTTCCATAATGGTTGAACTAGTTTACAATCCCACCAACAGTGTAAAAGTGTTCCCATTTCTCCACATCCTGTCCAGCACCTGTTGTTTCCTGACTTTTTAATGATCGCCATTCTAACTGGTGTGAGATGGTATCTCATTGTGGTTTTGATTTGCATTTCTCTGATGGCCAGTGATGATGAGCATTTTTTCATGTGTCTGTTGGCTGTATGAATGTCTTCTTTTGAGAAATGTCTGTTCATATCCTTTGCCCACTTTTTGATGGGGTTGTTTGTTTTTTCTTGTAAATTTGTTTGAGTTCTTTGTAGGTTCTGAATATTAGCCCTTTGTCAGATGAGTAGATTGCAAAAATTTTCTCCCATTCTGTAGGTTGCCTGTTCACTCTGATGGTAGTTTCTTTTGCTGTGCAGAAGCTCTTTAGTTTAATTAGGTCCCATTTGTCAATTTTGGCTTTTGCTGCCGTTGCTTTTGGTGTGTTAGACATGAAGTCTTTGCCCATGCCTATGTCCTGAATGGTACCACTTAGGTTTTCCTCTAGGATTTTTATGGTATTAGGTCTAACATTTAAGTCTCTAATCCATCTTGAATTAATTTTCGTGTAAGGTGTAAGGAAAGGATCCAGTTTCAGCTTTCTACTTATGGCTAACCAATTTTCCCAGCACCATTTATTAAATAGGGAATCCTTTCCCCATTTCTTGTCTCTCTCATGTTTGTCAAAGATCAGATGGCTGTAGATGTGTGGTATTATTTCTGAGGACTCTGTTCTGTTCCATTGGTCTATATCTCTGTTTTGGTACCAGTACCATGCTGTTTTGGTTACTGTAGCCTTGTAGTATAATTTGAAGCCAGGTAGCATGATGCCTCCAGCTTTGTTCTTTTGACTTAGGATTGTTTTGGAGATGCGGGCTCCTTTTTGGTTCCATATGAACTTTAAAGCAGTTTTTTCCAATTCTGTGAAGAAACTCATTGGTAGCTTGATGGGGATGGCATTGAATCTATAAATAACCTTGGGCAGTATGGCCATTATAACGATATTGATTCTTCCTATCCATGAGCATGGTATGTTCTTCCATTTGTTTGTGTCCTCTTTTATTTCACTGAGCAGTGGTTTGTAGTTCTCCTTAAAGAGGTCCTTTACATCGCTTATAAGTTGGATTCCTAGGTATTTTATTCTCTTTGAAGCAATTGTGAATGGAAGTTCATTCATGATTTGGCTCTCTGTTTGTCTGTTACTGCTGTATAAGAATGCTTGTGATTTTTGCACATTAATTTTGTATCCTGAGACTTTGCTGAAGTTGCTTATCAGCTTAAGGAGATTTTGGGCTGAGACGATGGGGTTTTCTAAATATACAATCATGTCATCTGCAAACAGGGACAATTTGACTTCTTCTTTTCCTAACTGAATACCCTTGATTTCTTTCTCTTGCCTGATGGCCCTAGCCAGAACTTCCAACGCTATGTTGAATAGGAGTGGTGAGAGAGGGCATCCCTGTCTTGTGCCAGTTTTCAAAGGGAATTTTTCCAGTTTTTGCCCATTCAGTATGATATTGGCTGTGGGTTTGTCATAAATAGCTCTTATGATTTTGAGGTACATTCCATCAATACCGAATTTATTGAGCGTTTTTAGCGTGAAGGGCTGTTGAATTTTGTCAAAAGCCTTTTCTGCATCTATTGAGATAATCATGTGGTTCTTGTCTTTGGTTCTGTTTATATGCTGGATTATGTTTATTGATTTGCGAATGTTGAACCAGCCTTGCATCCCAGGGATGAAGCCCACTTGATCATGGTGGATAAGCTTTTTGATGTGCTGCTGAATCTAGTTTGCCAGTATTTTATTGAGGATTTTTGCATTGATGTTCATCAGGGATATTGGTCTAAAATTCTCTTTTTTTTGTTGTGTCTCTGCCAGGCTTTGGTATCAAGATGATGTTGGCCTCATAAAATGAGTTAGGGAGGATTCCCTCTTTTTCTATTGATTGGAATAGTTTCAGAAGGAATGGTACCAGCTCCTCCTTGTACCTCTGGTAGAATTCAGCTGTGAATCCATCTGGTCCTGGACTTTTTTTCATTGGTAGGCTATTAATTATTGCCTCAATTTCAAAGCCTGCTATTGGTCTCTTCAGGGATTCAACTTCTTCCTGGTTTAGTCTTGGAAGAGTGTAAGTGTCCAGGAAATTACCCATTTCTTCTAGATTTTCTAGTTTATTTGCGTAGAGGTGTTTATAGTCTTCTCTGATGGTAGTTTGTATTTCTGTGAGGTCGGTGGTGATATCCCCTTTATCATTTTTTATTGCGTCTATTTGATTCTTCTCTCTTTTCTTCTTTATTAGTCTTGCTAGTGGTCTGTCAATTTTGTTGATCTTTTCAAAAAACCAACTCCTGGATTCATTGATTTTTTGGAGGGTTTTTTGTGTCTCTATCTCCTTCAGTTCTGCTCTGATCTTAGTTATTTCTTGCATTCTGCTAGCTTTTGAATGTGTTTGCTCTTGCTTCTCTAGTTCTTTTAATTGTGATGTTAGAGTGTCAATTTTAGATCTTTTCTGCTTTCTCTTGTGGGCATTTAGTGCTATAAATTTCCCTCTACACACTGCTTTAAATGTGTCCCAGAGATTCTGGTATGTTGTATCTTTGTTCTCATTGGTTTCAAATAACATCTTTATTTCTGCCTTCATTTCGTTATGTACCCAGTAGTCATTCAGGAGCAGGTTGTTCAGTTTCCATGTAGTTGAGCGGTTTTGATTGAGTTTCTTAGTCCTGAGTTCTAGTTTGATTGCACTGTGGTCTGAGAGACAGTTTGTTATAATTTCTGTTCTTGTACATTTGCTGAGGAGTGCTTTACTTCCAATTATGTGGTCAATTTTGGAATAAGTGCGATGTGGTGCTGAGAAGAATGTATATTCTGTTGATTTGTGGTGGAGAGTTCTATAGATGTCTATTAGGTCTGCTTGCTGCAGAGATGAGTTCAATTCCTGGATATCCTTGTTAACTTTCTGTCTCGTTGATCTGTCTAATGTTGACAGTGGAGTGTTGAAATCTCCCATTATTATTGTATGGGAGTCTAAGTCTCTTTGTAAGTCTCTAAGGACTTGCTTTATGAATCTGGGTGCTCCTGTATTGGGTGCATATATATTTAGGATAGTTAGCTCTTCCTGTTGAATTGATCCCTTTACCATTATGTAATGGCCTTCTTTGTCTCTTTTGATCTTTGATGGTTTAAAGTCTGTTTTATCAGAGACTAGTATTGCAACCCCTGCTTTTTTTTGTTCTCCACTGGCTTGGTAAATCTTCCTCCATCCCTTTATTTTGAGCCTATGTATGTCACTGCGTGTGAGATGGGTCTCCTGAATACAGCAGACTGATGGGTCTTGACTCTTTATCCAGTTTTCCAGTCTGTGTCTTTTAATTGGAGCATTTAGTCCATTTACATTTAAGGTTAAGATTGTTATGTGTGAACTTGATCCTGTCATTATGATATTAACTGGTTATTTTGCTCGTTAGTTGATGCAGTTTCTTCCTAGCCTCGATGGTCTTTACATTTTGGCATGTTTTTGCAATGGCTGGTACCGGTTGTTCCTTTCCATGTTTAGTGCTTCCTTCAGGGTCTCTTGTAAGGCAGGCCTAGTGGTGACAAAATCTCTCAGCATTTGCTTATCTGTAAAGGATTTTATTTCTCCTTCACTTATGAAACTTAGTTTGGCTGGATATGAAATTCTGGGTTGAAAATTCTTTTCTTTAAGAATGTTGAATATTGGCCCCCACTCTCTTCTGGCTTGGAGAGTTTCTGCTGAGAGATCTGCTGTTAGTCTGATGGGCTTCCCTTTGTGGGTAACCCGACCTTTCTCTCTGGCTGCCCTTAACATTTTTTCCTTCATTTCAACTTTGGTGAATCTGGCAATTATGTGTCTTGGAGTTGCTCTTCTCGAGGAGTATCTTTGTGGCGTTCTCTGTATTTCCTGGATTTGAATGTTGGCCTGCCCTACTACGTTGGGGAAGTTCTCCTGGATGATATCCTGAAGAGTGTTTTCCAACTTGGTTCCATTTTTCCCCTCACTTTCAGGCACCCCAATCAGACGTAGATTTGGTCTTTTTACATAATCCCATACTTCTTGCAGGCTTTGTTCATTTCTTGTTCTTCTTTTTTCTTTTGGTTTCTCTTCTCGCTTCATTTCGTTCATTTGATCCTCAATCGCAGATACTCTTTCTTCCAGTTGATCGAGTCGGTTACTGAAGCTTGTGCATTTGTCACGTATTTCTCGTGTCATGGTTTTCATCTCTGTCAGTTCATTTATGACCTTCTCTGCATTAATTACTCTAGCCATCAATTCTTCCAGTTTTTTTTCAAGATTTTTAGTTTCTTTGCGCTGGGTACGTAATTCCTCCTTTAGCTCTGAGAAGTTTG